TCAGGTTTGTTTACAGTTTGAAAATGACTTATTACATTGTTATGTTTCCACTGAAAATGACTTATTACATTATGTTTACACTGAAAAGTGAGGCATCTACTGAGAACGTTCAGTTTAAGCAAATCCCACATCCCGTAGAACACCACTTGATCATTTCCGAAAACCAGGGTCAACAGTACTTTGAGTACTTTGAATCATCTACTAGGCAGTACTGCGGGAACGTCATGTAGTACTTCAGCACAGATGCAGCACGGTAACAGTTTCTGTTAATTAGAAGTTTGGCTGATACAAAAATCTGTAGTTTCTCCAGAACTCCAGAACAGAAGAGGTACCTACCTACGTAGCAGACTACACAAGAAGGCTCAGATCAAGCTCCTTGTATTGACACACACATGTTATCTGTGGGCTGATTTCTCTTCATGTTAAAATGCATACTAAATCTCAGGCATAGACGCAAACTCATTTCATTTGGGATCAGCCCATGAACTCAGCCCAGCCTACGTAACCGGACGTTAAGGTATTAATTACAAGATATGTACATCATTAACAACAAACGGTTTATTAATTGGACTTCTGGATTTTTAAATACAGTGTCAAAACCAACAGTTATAATTGATTAAAAACAACTTCCTAGCTTTAGTTTACAACTCAATTTAGTGCAGAATTACTGAGCTTCGTCCCCATGTTGTGCTGTGCTGTGGCCACGACCTCCTTACGACCCGAACTCCACCGTCTCTGCAGTGATGGGTTTGAACTCGTAGTTCCCCCTCCCATCCATGTGCAGGTAGAACTGCAGAAAAAAAAACACTGTGTCAAATTTCCATCCAATGAGAACAGGGCTAGGAAAAAGCTAGGAAAGGAAAGTTTTAGAGGCTGCAACTGCTTTGGTGGATCTCCTTATTAGTTCCTTTTCGCCATCTACTGGCAAAATGAAGATACTGCCATAAATTAGGAGGCACTGCTCGCCATCAGTGAACAAGTAGGACCTTTTTCAGGGCTGCTCAGGTGCAACACGACATAATATATAAAACATGAAAATGTTACATATACATATATTTTTCCATACACAGAAGGCCTTTGAGTCATGGACTTGCACTCCAAATTCTTTTCCAAGTATTAAAAAAATACATAATAACCATTTGTTCATTGCAGAATTACATTTTCAAAACTTATTCTGTGGTTCTTTTTTGTGCTGGGAACAAACATCCCTTTGCATGTTACATGAAATGTCTAAAAAGCAGAGACATGGTATTCCTGGGAAAAAGAGGGTATTGAGGCACGTTGAAACATACATGGGAGTCCCATTATTTAGGGACTCAGGAGTGTTCAGAGCTTACCTCATGATGTTTCCACAACGACTTCCTGTGAGACACTGTGAACAGTGTAATGCCAACCTACACCGTGAGAGAGACATAGAGAACATTATCAACTTGGGACATTATCAACTTCGGAGAGTTTTACAGCGTTATGCCAATTGTGCGATTTAGACCTTGATCAGGACTGTAATGATGGTTTGGGTCTCTGTGTGATCTCCCTGCTTTATGGAAGCAGTGTGGTGCAGAATTAAGGAGCAGGGCTTGGATTAGTAAACTAGTCAAAAGGTTTGTGATTCCTCGGTGGGTCACTGCTGTTGTACCCTTGGGAAAGGTATTCAACCCAAACTGCCAGAGTGTATATCCAGTTTAACCAGCCGTATATAGTGATGCCAGTCGCTCTGGCTAAGAGCATCTGCTAAGGATACGTAATGTAATACAATACACTGTAAAAACTTCCACATTGAGGGGCACAGCTCTCCAAAGTGCACTCTAATGGTTTCTATACTGACACTGTCCTATAAACAGGCAGTATCCTGTCAGAGCCACCAGGGCTTTGGAGACTCGTTACCTTTCTGCAGTGGCTGTAGATGTAGTCCTCCACATCAACACTGACAGCACTGGTGCACTCATCCAGGATGGCAAACTGAGGCTTGTGGTAGAACAGCCGTGCCATCTGGACACAGAAATAACACCCAATCAGTGCAGGGCAAGAACTCATTTCTCTGATATATATATATATATATATATATCTCAAAGGGTTATTAGAACATTATTAAAATGGCTCTCAGCCCAGCTCAACACATCACTTTTAATACTCTTCTTATGCATTAATTAAAGGATTGCAATAAATACAGCCATAAAGAACATACGTACAAATGCATTTTCTTGCTCTAAATGTCATGTGAAACCATAGATTGCAATGAATGCTGGTGGATTTGGAGCTGGACAATCTCAGATTTCTATGAAGTTAATGGTGTCTGTCTTCCTGTTGGAAAATGCCTGTCTCCTTTCCTCACTCACAGCCATCCTCTGTTTCTCCCCTCCACTGAGGACGTCCATCCAGTCCTGCACGGTGTCCCACGTCCCTTCCCTGTCCAGGATGTGGCCCAGCTGCACATTGTCCAGGTACTCCTTCAGCACCTGTTCCCATACACACACATGCGCACACAAGAGTAAATCTGCTGCTATACACAGGGAACACATCTCCTACATGAAATGGACCTATCTTTTTTTACTAATTTTTTTTTCCTATATAGAATAATACCAGCCATCATGACTGAATGCATGCTGCCTCACATGTTACCGCACCTGATCAGAAATCCCTTTCCTTCTCTGGTCCTCCTGAGTGTCTGGGTAGATCACCTGATCCCTCAGGGTCCCCAGGGTCATGTAAGGCCTCTGTGATGAGATTTCACAAATCACTACCCTGGATCCAACAGGTCCCTCATTTCCAACACACAGGTGTGAAAGTTACACAACAGCACAACACTGATGCATTTCCAAAAGATATTACATATTTACAAAAAAGAAAAGAACATATGAACTGTTGCAGGAACGAGTATAACTGAAACATCTATGATTAAAAAGCTACATGACTGCAACATTACTGCTAAACTGAATGAAGGAAGAGATAGTAAAAAGAGTGGGCAATAAAGGGAAACACAAGTCAGAGAGGCAGGAAAGAGTGAGCGAAGAAGGGAGATAGATTAGAGATGGACAGGAAAAAGTCAGAGATGAAGCTAACGCTGCCGCTCAAACGAGCCTCTCGCGTATAACGTTTTACCTGTGGCACATAAAACAGCTTCCCTCTCTCAGGCTTGGTGAGGCGTCCGCCAAACAGAGGCCACAGCTGAGAAACCGACAGGTATTTGCAACATCACACCACCATTCAGAACTTGACTTTATCTCATCAATGTCCTGCCAGATATTTACAAAGCCACACCACCATTCAGCACTTTACTTTACACAGTGAACTTTCAGCCAGACGTTTACGTCACACCATGATTCAGAACTTTACAACGTGAACTCCCAGCCGGATATTTACAATGTCACACCGCAATCTAGCACTTTACTTGATAACATGAACTTCCACCATCATTATTTATGTTTTAGAGCTTGATTTTAAACATGCAATGACATTAAAGGGTAATACAGTGTTCATATGTTAATCACCAACACAGCCTCTGCATGTAGAATATAAGGAAGCCTTTCTGGGTTTCACCTCTGTAATGGCTTACCTCTCCAAGCACTCGGAAGAGGGAGCTCTTCCCACAGCCATTGGGACCACAGACCAAAACGTTGGTCCCAGATTTAACCTGAGGGATTTAAGCAAATTGTGTTACATCCTGGACAACAATATGTGCTCTGAATGCAAAAAAAGTTAATCAGCAACCAGCACCAAGAGCCTTATTTGATTTTATAGTATTAGAATCAATGCCCACATTTATGTTTTCAGTTCTACAAAGAGAGCAATGCACTTAAGGTCAGAAGTACTGATTAATCTAAAAGTAAACATTCTTTTGAGAGAATGATTCTAGAGTTCTGAGTTATAATTATAGGCAGGTATATTTACGAACTATCTGTACATGTAACTGATTAAAAACAAAACCTACACACCTCAAAGGTAAGATCTCTGATGAGAACATCTCCATTGGGTGTTGCTAAGGGTGTGTGATCAAACCTGAAATACAAACACTTCTGTCTGAGCAGACTGCTCTCAGGGAAAAAAATGGCATCTAGACAGTGAAATTTAGAAAACTGTAAAGCTGTCAAATATAATATTAAATTTCCCCTTGTTATAAGAAAAATACAGACATGAGAAATTGTTTTTGAGAGATGAATTTGCAACATACTCAGTGTTTCACCCACTTACTTGATAATATTGTCTGCATTAATAATATCTCCGCTTCCAGGAATCAGCGTGAGTTTTTCTACAGCTTCCGTTTCTAAAAAGAATACAGCCATTAAATATTATCATACTTGGTTTTTTTTCGTGTGGTGTGTTCACTGCATCCTGTTTTTAAAACGCAGAAATGTATTGATCCCTACCTCTGTCTTGCTGAGTGACCATGGTTCGCTCGTACTTGCCAGCGTTCAGCTCTTTCAAGACCTTCATGAGCTCTGTGATGCGAGCTGTGAACCTGGAACACGAAATAGGAGTTTACTGTCTGATCATTCCGATCTAGCAGCCAATCTCTCAGAGGTTTTCCCCTAAAAGAGGCCTACGAAAGAAACGGAGGAGGGGAGGCACAGAGGGGAGCTCAGAAAGTAGCACAGGAGCTCTGGGACTGGGTGAGACCCACCCTGACAGCCTGGTCATCTCCCGGCCCGCCAGCACGATGCGGCCCAGCGCCTGAGACATGCGTAGCAGCATGCGTCCGCTCTGGTAGTAGTCCTGCAGACAGAGGGGTCAGACTGGATTACGCCACAGGGGAATTCCAGGGAACATCTGCCTCTTCTTAGTCCCCATTTGTAACATTTCAATCCTCTGTATTCGGCCTCTGAGGTGCAAATTATTCATTTGGGCAGTGCTGAATGATTACATGACATTATTGTCATTTAAAAGAGCCGCTTACCCAGAGAGACTTACATAGGTTACAGTTTTCACATGTTATCCATCTATACAGCTGCATATTTACTGAGGCACTTCTGGGATAAGTACCTTGCCCAAGAATACAGCAACAGTGCCCCAGCTGGGAATTGAACCAGCAACCTTTGGGTTAGGAGCCCAGCTCCTTACCACTACACATTTAAGTATGGGGTCTGGTGAATGCTTGTGGCAGAAAGATTTGACAGGGTAGTCCTACTGGTTTTTTGAGCCATAATATTCCGCATTGTATATATGCAATACAATGTGAGCAGGTGTTTAGCAGTTTAGACTAAGTATGATTGGCGGTATGTAGAAGTTTGAGGATTTGTGGGACATATGGGTTATGTATTGGTTACAGGTGACAACCTACTCTTGTAGGGAGGTAGGATTACACTGTTTTATGGTAGTTCAGATAACATGGTTCTTTTGTGGCTCTTCCTATTGGCCATCAGATTTTAGAGGATGTCAAATCTCCTTCACCTCCAGCAGTTCTGAGTGCGTGCTGTTCAGGTGGCGAGGGTGAGACAGGTTCAGGAATGGCCGGCTGACCACCAGGTAGCCCACCACCGTGGCCAGGTCTGCCAGAGAGACACAGAGATAGAGAGAGAGAGAGAGAGAGAGAGAGAGAGATAGAGAGACAGAGAGAAAGAGAGTGTGAGGGATTAAGAGTGACAGTGAAGGAGAGTGAGAGATAGAGAAAGAAAGACAGAGAAAGAGAGATGGAAAGAGAGGCCTACATCAGTACAATCACATCTGTCTATTCCAAACATTCACAATGAAATAAACAGGGATGTACCAACAAGGATCTTCTTTCACTTCACTCTCAAGATCATTAGCCAACCATTAGCTGTTCATTATGTTCTCCAGTTCACTTGTAGCATTAAGTATTGGGAGTGTCAAGTAAAACTCACTTGAAATATCAGGTAGCTCATAGAATATTAAGTGTTGAAATATCAGATAACACTTACACTTGGCAATGATGCTGTCCACAAACCCCATGGAGAAGCGGAAGAAGATGAAGTTGTGCAAGTGGTCAACCTGAAAGAGAAATGGCATGAGAAACCTTAATCTTAATTGCCCACAGAATCCATTACCAGCCAAACAAGAAACAATTTCTTCATCATGTTTACTAAAATGTTTATTTGTCACATTCTTTCGACTATGTGTACAAAAGTAATCAGCCAACAGCAATGTCAGCTAAGGCCTGCAACTGAGACACTCTCAGGACAATTGGAACTAAGTTATGTTCTTACCAGTTTCTGGAAGGTAGAGTGAATTGTTTGTTTCTCTCGTACGTTCCCATTGTAGAAGGCAATCTCCTCACTGTCAGGGGACAAGGGATGATTTTAATTCAGGCGCTTGATACTGGTGTTGGTTTTCAAGCCTCCAGCTGAAACCAGGTTTTGAGATGTTCCCCTGGAGCTTATAGAGCTTATAGAGAGAGATTTCCCTGCAGCCCGGAGCTGTTTCAGGACCTACCTGTTGGTGATGAGACGGGAGTTGACGTATCTGTACTCGCCCTCGTATCTCTGCTCCGTCACTGTCATTTTGCCAATGGGCCGCCGAAGCCTCGTCAGGAAGAGCCCAGAGATCAACAGGTAGGCCATCATAGTGGCAGGGCCCTGACAGCCGAGACAGATCACATCTCATTAGGCCAAATTCATGACGAACATCTGAAGAAACCATAGTGAACACTCAGAAAGTTCCCATTTACACTTACATTTTGTCACTTAGCAGACGTTCTTATCTTGAGTGAAGTATAAGAAGTGCGTACACAAACATTACATTTACATATTTGATACTCTTATGACATACCTGGGCACCAATGGCACTTGTGAGCTTGAAGATATACAGGCCAATGTCGAGAAGAGGCTGGAAGACAGAATCATTTGATTTTAATTTCACAATGTTTCACTGTTTGTAGATGTTATTTTTTAACAATTGTACCTGGTAAATATTGCATTTTTTATACAACCCATTCAATACTAACTAAATTTTACCAGGGTTCCTCACAGAATTTTGAGTTTCAAAAGTGAGTTTTGTGAGAGAGTTTTATTTCTGAGAGACAAGTTTCTTACAATAATAGAGTAATTCATCATAATACTGTCACAGGGATTATGGTGTACAGTTAACACAGCACTGAATTTGAATTGCTCACACAAGACAATGAACCTACATTATCTTATCGACATATGCTGTCGATGCCCCCAGTTTGAATTAAGATAAAAATTAAACAGATGAATCTCTATGTCCAAGTGCATGACAGAGAAACCCAATTCACAGTAACATTACATAAGAGAAAGACAACGTATCTTTATGCTGTGTATGCAAATCAGGGTCTATGTTCATGCACACAGAATCTAAGGCTGAGACAAGCTTTTGCTGACAGGAAAAAAAGCACAGCTGTAGTTTTGGAGAGAGCTCTGCTTATATAACCTACCAGGAGGAACAGTAAATTACAACTGGTGTAGCAACATTTTACTGATACAGATTTTCTGTCATGACATGACTGTAATAGCTACTATGTGAAGGAGCAACAGAAAACGTTAAATATTGCATATTTTGGAATGTTGATGAATTTTCAGATATAATTTACTAGGAATATGTGGTCATAAATAGGAGAGGAATGGACACACCACATTTATCATCAACATTTATCATCATCACGGAATGTCAAGGAAGAGATAAGAAATCAAGAACCAGCGCCCACAGTCATATTTTTAGTTGAGGAGCACAGTCATATAGAGTTTGAACAGATCTAAAAAGTACTAAAGTATTAATTCTACTCTGTAGAAATTTAAAGTGGTATTTCACTGGTATTGGAAAATATTTCAAGAAAGTATACTCTAACAATTATTCCAACAATGATAATTAAAAAACAACCTCTAAAATGTGCAATACCTTATAGACAGGAGCTTCAGAGAGGAAAGAGGGAAAGTGGGCCTTACCTTGCTCAGGTTGGAGTACAGGTCGACCACACTGTTACAGAACTTCTCCACATCCTGTGTCAGCAGCTGGTCAGCGTTGGCAATGCGATTGTCCAGGTTGCCCATTTTGTAGTAGGTGTAACCTCTGGCAGGAGAAAAAATATAAAACAGGAACTCATACATATTCAGTCCCTTTGGGTTGATTCCTTAAGAAGTGGTAGCAGTGATTGACTGACCAGACTTCATGAAACGTGACACAGCTTGAGACATGAGACATATCTGAATGCTTCTAACAACAAAGCATCTCAATAAATCTGTGACCAAATAGCTCACACTGACTCAAACTGTTGACTGCTTCACAAAGCCTTCAGTGGCCGCCACTTTCTAGCTGCACTGAAACACAGACCTCGGTCATCACTAGTGATTTGTGATGCTGGTCATGCACAAATGTACTGGTGGGCGTGACATGAATCCAGATGGTGACCTGTTTAGACTTCACACCTGTTCTACAGCACTGACGTAACGGAGTGGCCAGAGGGGGCAGAGCAACAGGACTCACTTTAGGTACTCGTCATACAGGTGCTTGGTGAGGCGCACTCGAAATCGAAGCTTCAGCTCATTCAATCCCAGCTTCAAAAAGTTGTTCACCAGGGCGATCTGAAATGAGCAGGGGTAACAGTCATTCAGTCTGACTATTTTACAAGTACAATGTAACTTCAGAGATGAATACTTCAACACAACTGCATATTACTGTACTAAAGGAACAGGTGTTGTCTAGGAAATGCAGCTTGATTTGGTAACTATCTTTTTAAAATACACAACATTTAACACTAAACAAGAAAGACACTACATCAAAAGAGTGCTCTCTGTGTAAACCATACCACACCTTGTTCAAATATTTTCTTGCTGCATAAACAATGTGTATCTGTGCTTATCTTTTTACTCTAAATAACTGTCATAGCCTTCTTTATTTTTAATGTATGTAAATTATGATCACGACCTTATATTTTTTACTCTGTGTGAAGACAGTGATTATAAACATAAACCACTTAATTCTGTGAAGAAAAGACTAAAATCACATCTAATTTTTAGAATATTTTATTGACAGAACAACAGATGTGTAAGTAAGAATAACAGGTTTCTGACACCCACTGCATACCAAGATACATTAATGCAAAGTAATATTGAGGTTATATGTTGAGTAGTCTCTGTGCAAACAAAGTAATTGTGAAATAAGAATTGGTGCAATGGATTAAAGGAGAAATCAGATAAATATGGATATGTTTTATGATATGTACTTTATGATAAGTATAAGCAGAAATACTACAGGGGTTTTTATTTCTTCACAGTAGGCTGGATTGTGTTACAGACCAGAGTCGAGGTTGTGGCTTAGGGTGTGTGGCTAGGAATGCTTAATTGCACAAGTAAGTGCCTTAAACATATCATAAAACAGATCAAATGTATTATTTTGAATTTAAGCCCTCACTAAAAAATTTTCAGCTCCAGGATTCAGTCTACAGTCACATTATGGCTATGAGGGTGGATGAAACAAAGGCCATATATCACAACTGCAGTGTACTTTTGGGATATTTTATGTGCCAAACTTGAGGACTACCTGTGATTCACAAATCAAAAATAAAAAAACGTAGTAATAATTCACTTACAAGCGGCATGGCTGTGATAAAGTTGAACAAGTACCTCTTGAAATCTTTTGTTGAGCGACCGATAATTGCACTGCAAACCACAACATGCACAAAAAGAACAGACAGTCAACATATACTAGAGGACACAGTGCAGCAGGAGGACAGCATGGGAGGCTTTCAGCTGCAATGGTGATTCTTCTGAAGAAGCACTCTGAAAACCTGATACTCAGTAGCCTGGCTGAATATCCACACCCTGATCTTCTGCTATGTTAAACAATGGGTTGAACAGAGGAGATCTGGGAAGGTGTGAGGCACTATTTGTCAGGGATATACTACTTTGAAGCAGATGTGCATTGAGGATACTGTGACCTAATTGGCCAGTCACAAACCGCAAAGGGATTAATAGGTGCATCAGTGACTATGTTATACAGTCAGACGAACAAGCTGCACACAGTTACAGATTTTGATGCTTTCCACGCCAAAGTAACGTGGACAACATTTACCCCAGGTATGACACCAACATAGGAATAAAAGTGCTTCTTGAATATCTTGATATCTCTGCTAATGATACCACTGTGGAGGATTAAAAAGAAGTAATTAATAT